ACAGGACTTGGAAATACTGACTGCTATATACAATTATTGGTTTTGCCATTTATCGTAAAAAGTTTATGATATTAAAAACTAACTTAGAAAGACTACGGCGAACGTTACTTTTAATCTGTTTTTCAATAGAATTTGGATATTGTATACTGACAAAGAACAGAATCAGGTTCTTTTCAAATAATTGAGAATTCATATTCAAGAGACAACATGGCATGATTATAATGCGGACGTTGCTTAATTCTTATTTTCGTCTATAGTTAGCTAAAACTTAAAGAACCGAATTGAGAGAAGCAAATAATATTGAAGAAACATATTGTTGATTGATCAATTTACCACAGGGATATACTATAAATGATGTATTGTATGAAATTCGAAAATTTCAGCTATTTTATTCGCTTTGACTAACCTTGTAGCACATGTTGCATTTATGACATATTTGTGGGTTTTTTTTCAAAAGCATAAATGTTATTCTTGTTGCCAAATATTGTCTTTTTTTCTTGTAGGGCAATCATTTGAATATGATATCCATCATTGTCATTTGTTATCTCAATTTATATTTACCAAACAAATCTCATGCACGTGCCACGTTAGTAATCCATCTAACGATGTCCCTCTCTAACGATATCCTGCATCAACTTTCCGTTTTTTATGTTAATCTCTTCAAATTTAATCGAGTAGAAGACTACAAAAAAAAAAAAAAAAAAAATCAAGGTAAGGATTTCTTTTTAAATTTACATCTTTTATCTTTATCCAAGGTACGGATTTTTTTAAACTTTTATCTGAGATAAATTTTGTTTCTGAAAACATCATCTGCATTGAAATCAATTATGGCGAGGATGGTAGTCGGAAATGTGAACTAAGTACCTCCTGTATAATTATGTAGTTCTTTTAAAACATCTGTAATAAAGGAAGTGTTTTCATGTAGAAAAGATAATATAAGTATCCGTAATGAATATACGTTGGCAATACTCAGTAACAATTGCACTGTATGTATCAATATGTGCCGCGTAACTGTAACTTAAAAAATGAGGATGTTAAACGCAGTGTAGAAAACAGTACTACTGTAATGGCATAGACTAGACATTTTTAAAACATTTTTAATGCAAAATAAAAGAGGTTAAAAACATGATATTCTGAATGAATAAATATTATAAAATACAGTCCGAATCAACTCCCGTGAGTTTCTAAAACAATCAGGTTAAAAGCAAAATACATTTCATATTTCAGCTCACACAGTAAAATTTGGAGTTAAGTTGGAAATACTATAATCGTGTTCTTCAAATACATATTCGTTGTCGATGTGCAGCTTCACAGCGCATATGTATTTATTACATGTATCTTCAGTTTACAATTGTTTAAAAAAATAAACAAACTTTAATCGCGACAACTTCATTTCAGATTTACTGGGAGTAACCTAGTTTATAAATATTAATTTTTGCGATCAAGCTTATTTAATTAAGTACTGTTGTTAATAGACATGTAGTGTTTTTATTGCGTAATATTCAGTTATGAGTGGATGATTGATTGATTGTATATTGTTTAACGTTCCTCTTGATAATTTTTTACTCATATGGAGACGTCACAGTAGGCCGGTGAAGGGCTTCAAATTTAGACCTATACTCGGCACTCAGGGCCATTGAGCAGTGAGGGTTCTTTATCGTGCCAGCGCCTACCGTGACTTTCACTTCTGATGCCGAGCGCTTGGCGAAGGAACAGTCGCTACAGGGTCTATTTTTACGTCTTAGGTTTGACGCGACGCCGCGAACGAGAATCGAAGCGAACGCTCTACCACTAGGCTACCGTGAACGGTAAATGAGTAGATGAGATTTGAGTAGTTTTATACTTGTAGTAAATTTTCTTATCGCTAGCAATATGTAGCCTAATGGCATCCTAACAACATTGAGTGTCTTAGAGGCCTAATCATGTTAGGTGGTAGGAGGCCCTATTACTTGGTGCCAAACACCTAACTGTGGCCTAATCATGTTAGGTAGCAGGAGACCCTATTATTTGGGAGCCTAATAGATGCCTAATAGGTGCCTAATAGAAGCCTAATGGAGGCCTAATGGATGCCTAATAGGAGCCTAACTGTATTGGGCTGTCAGCAAGTATATATACAGGATGTACAGGATGAGAGAATGCATTTTAGGCACTTTTCCCTTATTTCTTGTTTTAACAAGATGTCATGTGATGTAAATTTCCATAATACAATTCGTTCTACAAAAGCAAAGTGTTGTTCTCATTGATGTATAAAGATCTCTAATCCTACGCATGTATTGCGTATAGCACAGGATCAACATTATTTTGTGACTGGCCTTAGGTTGAAGCAGAGTTGGACATAATCGCTAGCTATATTATCCTCAGTTGCGTTACAGACACATACGAGGGTTGTCCTAAAATTCCGTAGACAAGGGTTGTATTGTAGGAACCCTATGTCATACATGTACATTAATGAAAATTCGTATATAGATTAAGCCAACACTATCTAATAAATTTATGGACAAATATGGAGTAACTACACAAATTAATCTAATTTAAAAGACCCATTTCATTGTCTGGTGTAGGAGGGCTGCGCAATACCCAAAAGTTACAATTAAAAATTGGTATATTATATATATAATCCTACGGAAAAGTGATTACTACCTTGTATTTTTTGAATGGAGTTGAAAATTCTCAATATCGCATTATTTACTATATTTCTTTAAATTTTGGTGTGTATGCTTTGATAAATAAGAATTTTACAGCGTTTTTATAAACATGGGGTTGAAATCTGACTTTCTGAAAAATGGCAGCTGCTTTGGCAGAGGCGGCGCACTGGACTATGTTCAAGTGTTTTGATCCTGAATGCACTCCTACAGAAATGTACCATTCGTATATGTTTGGTACACTATGAAATTTTTTCTCGTCCTAAGTTTTTAAAATGACTAAAACGGTATACAGTAACTAAAATAAAAGATATGGCTAAGAAATGGGCAAGAACTCCACTGTGCAACTTCATTAAAGAAAACAGACGAAAAGCCTATAGAAATATAGTGTTTTCAAAAAATTATAATTTTATACCTGTACATGCATATACTTTGTTTACATATTTTAAGGTTTGATCATATCATAGTAAATAAGATATTTCACATTCATAACTATAATCGTTTCGTTTAATTTAAGAATTTGATCCTGGTAATTGAAATATTTTCTCAAAAATTTGAAGTGTTGACATATGTATTTTTTGACGTTGCAGATTGCTCTGGGTGCTAAATGACGATCTCACTTTAAATCCTATAACTCAAAACATTTTCAAGTAAACATGATAAAACTTCGTAATTTATCTGCCAAGAACACGCTTTATCCATCCTTAAAATTTTATAAAGATATATCAATTTCTTGAAAAGATATGAGCCCAGTCTACGAAATTTTGGGACAACCCTCGTATATTTTAATGACCGATACGCGGTGAGAAATATTCGCAATGACTGGGCTCTAGCGATCTTCTCGAAAATTTCTCGCATGCGAATAAAAGTTAAGAATACTTTTAGTTATTTTTTATTGGATTTAATTTTTTTTTTAATCAACCGATTTTGTAGTTTTTAAAAAATGGATTTACAACTCTGGACCATTTTTTCTGGCTCAGAATAAAATAGTTTTATCTCGTACGAAAGACGTCAATAGACTTCTTAGCGACATTGTTATCGAATTGTTATGGTTTGGATCGAGATTATGCATTAAAAATGATATCATAGATATATATTAGAATTCATAAACACGCATCTGTAATGATTTCGGAATTTTCTGGTTTGGCCATGCAGAATTTTCTCAATAAGTCTCTGTTCACGTCACGTGACTTTAATTGTGTATAAATACCTAGCCTCCACAGTGATCAGTGGGTAGTTCATCGGATGCAGCAAAGGATAGAAGAGACTGTCGTGAAATAAGTTTTCATGTGTTATATTCCGCGCCTGTTTTACAGTTAGAGAGTGAATCCAACCCAGTTAAGGCCTGTCGCAAAATAGGATGACCTCCGATAGAGGCTAGCCCTAGTTTGTTGTGTCTCGTCTGCATTGGCTGACCAGTCCGTCCAGGCTGCTATACTCATTGTCCGTCCTGAATAAGGTATCCTTGACAATGAGTGTAGTGGATGAAGGGCTACATGTATCACATATACTTTCCGTCTTGAATAAGCCACCCTACAGTATATGCGGTAGTCCTAGGGCGAGTGGACATCTTATTTCAGTGTTAAGTTAGCTTGCCTCCGATAGTTATAGTGATTAACTCTTGATTTTAATTTACCTAAATAAGGTTAGGACATATTTGTATATTTAGGCAGTCCACTATAATCATCCCTCTTATTTTAAATCATTTAAAGTTGAACACCCCAAATCCTGGAATTGAACAGGTACAATCCTCGTGATTTATTGTAAAATACGTTTACTTACACATCTTTGTGTTATTATATATACATGTATAAACTAGTTTTTGTCACCTGTAGATTTTTTAATGACGTTACAATGAATTATAATAACCATGCAGTGCAGTACTTAAACAACGCAGGTTTTCCTTATCGTATTTGAGACAAAAATATTTTAAAGCAAAAAATTCTAATGGTTTGTTTATGTAAAAATTTCTTTATTTTTCATAACATGATTCTATGTTATTATTCATATTATTTGTTACCTAGATGAAGGTCGTTAAGATAATAAATCTGCTTGTGCTCATTCTTGCATTCAACATGGGTGAGAACAATGTCAAATGCGATGAGATCAGCATCATGAGGAACCAAGTGCTACGGAGTTGGTATTGCTGTAGAAGATTTCGATTTCGATGTGTGAAATATTGCGTACACAGTTGAAGGTAAAGTTTTTATTTAATAGCAAACACAATGTTGTACGAGAGAGAGAGAGAGAGAGAGAGAGAGAGAGAGAGAGAGAGAGCACTCGCGCTCACCGACTTGTGGGGAACTCACACCTGACAAAGGACCTTTCTTATGGGGAAAGTTCAGAATTTTGGGGAACTCTCTCGTTCCCCACAAATATGGTCATGGGGTTTTTTGAATTCTACGTGTTCTACTGATAATATTTATTCGATTTGTGGTCATTTTTGAAAAAATCCCCATAAGTCCGTAAAATTGACTCGCAGTAATTTTCTCACTGCACCGTAAAACGAATGTTTGAGGATGCTGGGAAATGTTCATTCGGAACGCAGCGGAATTTAAACTGGTCCCCATATGATACCAATTTATTGCGGGCAATGGCTGCTCCGAGAATATGTGGTAAGTAGATTTTTTATCATATTTAAAAGATAATATGTTTTACGGTGTGACCGTTGGGGCGAGCGCAGTTGTACCATCAAAAACACTTGAGATCAGCCACTTCGAACGTCAAGCCGCACGAGATATCTCGACTAGCTGTGACGTCATACGACGTCACAAAGCTCGTCGGAGCTTACGGAGATAGCCGAGTGTCTGTTTGAAACTATAGAACTAGTGCAATTTTTGTCGAAAAACATTGCAGAGTTATTTCTTGTTTCTTTGAAAGATTTCTACAAACTGAAAGTCTGATATATGCTTTACATTATTATTTATTTATTTATTCGGCAATATTCGCGCAAAGGACATTGGGTAGTGCAGGAATTCTGGGAATGTTGCACAGAGAAATTTGGCTGACGTATGTACAGATTTCAACCCGAATTTCCTCTGTTCTTACACGTTAGTCTATTGAGCTCGCTTCGCGAGCGTCGCTTCGCGACGCTCGCTGCACTTGCTATTATAGGCTGAAAACTTATTTAACTACGTAAATCATGCATGCAGTTATTTCTTACAGACGTTCGTAAAGTAACATTTAATAATGAATGCACGTAAAACTTTGGGAAAGATTGACCCGACCTAGACCTCGGTTATTTTTTTTTAATTGTATCATGTTTATAGGCCTAATGGCTATCCTGTAAAAACAAACTACGGATTTATATGAATTCAGCACCCCTGGGATATGGTAAGCGTTTAAAGCTTGTCCCCATTTTTTGTGAAACATGTGCTTATCCTCCTCATGCCCATGAATTTTTCTAGACGTGCGACTGTCTGGTCTTTAGCTGTTTAGTGAGGCCTGTGTGGGCGAATTAATTGTAAAACTTAATCTGACTTAAACTGTACGTGTATTAATAAACGGTGTCAGTCACACACTGACTCAGTGTCAGAAATGTATCACAGAGAACTCCACCTTTTCAAAAGGTCCATTGAAATCAGTACATTTAAAAATTTCTTAGATTGGTTAGACAAGGTATTTAACATGTTTAATTCTTCCAAAAAAAGCTTGATTTAGCTATCGTTTTTTTATCAAGTCATTCTTCCTACTTGTATATATTTATTCGCATGCGTTGGTTTGCATAGTGTCCATTTGCCTTCATTATCTTTCACCTGCACCCTGTTCTACATTCCTCCTGATTGCCCTACTGAAAATATTTTCATGATTTTAGACCATCATTATCGATGTATTATAAGTATTTTTTTTATTTTGCTAAGGCCAAGATAAATACATAGTGTTTCCTATTTTAACCTTAGAAAAGATAGGGTAGGTAGGTAGGAAAAACATTTTTATTTTATTTTAACATTTTATTGGCAGGCACGCTGCCACTTTCCCCCAGGATTTCACTGTCAAAATATTTCTGATTAATATGTGTAAGATATGCATTTCTCAAACATGGAAGTGATCAAAATTGGGATTTCATTTCTAATTGTAAACTGGAATACTGTAATATGTGTATATAATTTGGTGCTTTCAAAATTTAGCATAATCACTGGGTTGGCATAATCATAAATTAGCGCTACACATGTATGTGCGGTGTATTGTATATATCAATATGTAAATGATTTCTTAGCAGTATTCATGAATTAGTGCATTGTTGTCTGCACCAAAGCCGCTAAAATATGAAGCCTGCATTTTAAAGTATACATACAGTAGTTTACTCATGGAAAGATATTAATAGCAGAAAAATATTGAGGGCCGGCTCCTATACTTCTTAGAGTTAGGCGGGGAACTGAACATGCTGAAAACACACTACTTATTTATTTAGACCCAATTAAAATGTCTAATAAATTCATTTTAATTAAATACTTATTGTTAATTAAAGATCACCTTTTATTTTTAAAATTTGTTACAATTCAAACCTTGACCTTGGGGTTTAGATGCTGATGGAATAAATAAGAAACAAAGTCATATGTAAAAAATAACTAAAAATCCTTTTCAAAACCTCAATTACTATTGAATTATGATTGGGCGTGGTATACAAAATAATGCGAATTGGAGGAAAAGGAGAAACATAGTAATAACAATTAGATCAGCTTTTATGATAGCGAGCATATTAAAAATTTAAAATTGGTTATAAAATTGAAAGGTAATGTTGAGATTTTAGATTCAATATCTATTATTCAAAATTTTTTATATTTGCTTAACTGAATGTATACCTTTTTAAATTTATTTACACGTAACGATCGCGCTCAAAGTTTTGGGTCTGATAATGCTTCCTGATTTTGGTCTTCTTTTTTTTTTTTGAAGAAAACCATTTGATTCCTGCACCCACTCCTCCTTTCTAAAAATTTTTAATCTGCCTCTGGTAACTTTACGCTGTAAATTTCTATTCTCATTTTAATTAAATTTAAATAAATACTAACAGCACTATCATGCAATTTCAATGACTATCATTTAAGGTATTGATTCAGTTTTCTGTCATTTCTAAAAATAAGTTGTACTGTATCGTTGATTTTTTGCATATAAAACAGTTTCTGCTCATCAAACATCCACGAGAAAGTGTTCTGTTTCGCAGTTATTGTACGGTTGATTTAAAAGGGAAAGCTCTCTGGGCCATGTCACAAGAAGGAAAAAATAAAATATTTTTCATACCTACCTACCCACTGTTAACAATATGGTTCAGGAAAGGGCATACATTAAGTCTTAACTTTGGCATGCCGCATGGGGTCAAAAATTACTATTGAGTGATGTGGAGATATACCTGTCTTGTAATTATAGGTAAAAATATGAACACTTTAAAAAAAATATACAATGAAATCTTTGAACTGAAAGCAAAATTATTATTGCAGGTTTTCGGGTTTTCACCACAAGAGCAAATTATACAACTTTATTCTTGAAAATGTTAGAGACTGAGACTTGGAGTCAAAGTCAACAAACACGCATGCATGGACATGAAGGATGTAAAGAACTAGAGTATTATAACTGAAAGCATTTTGTCTGGATTTGTGTATGGAAACAGAAGGATTTAGTATTGGTAAGTCAAGATAGCTGTAAAATCTCATTTTGAACTCTATATATGTGAGCAGTACTGTAAACCAACTACCAGGTAGTACACATGTACCCTATTTGTGTCATCTTTTATTTGCATACCTAATCTGTGTTGATTAATTTCCGTGACTAATGAAAGGAAACATTCTCTACAAATATAAAACAAAATTAATAGTTCAGGGCAATTAATAATTTACTATTCACTAGTAAATGTAGGTCATGAAACTGGCGAATATTTCTTGCACTCAAATAAAAGTTGGTTTACAGTACTTCCGTTGCTCTAAAAACAGAAATAATAAAAAAAGCATGCTGATATCATGTATGTTATGAAGCCTAATACATGTACATAGAAGTATATAAACCGGTATATCTAAAATTAAAAAAAAGATTTTGGTCCTTGTTCATGATTTCAAAGTAGGTTAAAAGCCTCATGAACATGCTGAGAAGTTGTCAGAAAATATACATGTGTGCTAACCATGCTAACTGTGTAACAATAATCAGAAAATTTTACAAAATGTAATCAAAATTTGGTTAATAATAATTAGTCATTGGCCGATTAAATCCATCAATGATTAAATTAGTACTTATATATACTGTCTCCTGATTTTATGACTTTTTATCCTTTTCAACATACTTATTATTTTTGAATTGAAAACATTTTTTTTACCTGAGAAAATTAAAATTTGCAATTTGTTTTAAATCTAGTGAAGGAAAACAAATGTTTTTAAAATTAATGTGCTTTGATTTAAAAGACTTGTAAACATTAGATTAGTAATACATGTAGTTTCAATACATTTATTAATATTGATGATTGATTTTTTTTAAGATTTGATAGTTATTTTATTTGTTGAAAAATAATTTTTATCTGTAATGTTCATGTGTAATAAAATAATGCATTTCCCAATAAGTGATAAATGTTTCCCACAAGTCAGCAATATACACTGAAGTGTACATTTATTGGTTGGGTTCAAAGGCAACATTTATATGGAAACAAATTTTTAAGGATAAAGCAATGGTCAATACATGTGTATTCCTCACAAGTGAACAGTGAGAAATATTCCCCACAAGTCAGCAGTGATAAATATTACCTAAAATTGTTAACTGTGAGAAATATTCCCCACAAGTCAGCAATGATAAATATAACCTACGTGAGAAATATTCCCCACAAGTCAGCAGTGATAAATATTCCCCAAAAGTCACCAATGAAAAGTATTACAAGTTAACAGTGATAAATATTCCCCACAAGTCAGCAGTGATAAATATTCCCCACAAGTCAGCAATGAAAAGTATTACAAGTTAACAGTGAGAAATATTCCCCACAAGTCAGCAGTGAGAAATATTCCCCACAAGTCAGCAATGAAAAGTATTACAAGTTAACAGTTGGAAATATTCCCCACAAGTCAGCAATGATAAGTATTACCTACAAGTCAACTGTGAGGAATATTCAATAACAACATACAATTATTTTAACCCATTCTCAATCAAATTTGGGGAGTATATTGGAATTAGCATGTCTGTCTATCTTTCTATAGGCATTACATATTGAGGGATAATGGTGGGATTAATTTTTTAGCAAATCTCACATCAACTTCCTGTTTATCTGTGCGTGTAAATTTTAATGTTTTTTTTCCAGCAACTACTATGGTAGCAAGAAGTTTGAAATTTTTTAACACTCTTTCTCGAGGCATATTATATACCGGTAGTGAGATTCATTTTTATGCAAATTCGATGTCAATTTCCTATATATCCACGTGTCTCGAGATCTGTACGCAATTTTTGTCGCAGTTTTTTCACCAACTATCACAGATATAAAAATGTGGTACATGTATCCATTAGATTGAACCCTAGCAATAACAATCCTGAGTAGCATTCTCTACTGAGACTACCAAGCTAACCACTATGCTACACAAGTCCTGATGAGGATTGGCATTTAAATCATGTTTGTGATATGACCATTGACTCAGTGGACTTCAAGTTTTTCTCGAAAAGATACAAAAGTTATATCATAAAATTATAATTTTTTAAAAGGTTTAGTGGGTTTTTTATACGCCCGTCTTAAGACGGGACGTATTATGTTATAGGCTTCGTGTCCGTCCGTCTGTCCGTCTGTCTGTTAGCTTTTTCGTTTCCGGCTCATAACTTTAATACTATTAGGCCTAGGATTATCAAACTTTGTCATCTGATGCATCTTGGGTAGAAGGTGTGTCGCGCACAAAAATCCTTTCCGGCCCATAACTAGAAAAACTATAAGACTAACAATCATCAAACTTGGCCAGTTTATGCATCTTAGGTAGAAGGTGTGTTGCGACCTATTTCAAGGTCACTGTGACCTTTAATTTAAGTGAAATTAAAAAAAATGTGTCTTTTTACTGTTCATTTAAGCATCCCAAATAATGTAAGAGTATTGCTCTCTTCTTATTAAAAAAGTGTTAAATCAAGAAAATACTTATTTTTTAAGCATATACTTGACAGCAATCTATAACAAATATAATGTATGTTAGAGAAATCCTACCTCTCTCTTGAGTGTAATTATCAAGCACTGGTCAAGAAGAATTTTGATAACAGAAAATTGCATGTCAAATTAGAGAGAAACTAATGAGTTTTGAGTGTGAGGATCTAACTCAGTGTTATCTACATCCCTTGGGTATTGGGCAGATGGGTAAGCCTGTTGGATTAAAAATAGCTCTTGTTGGCTGGCCTAAGTTTTAAAATGAATTTGATGAAAAGTAATTAAAACTAATTTGATATATTGCATAATAGACTAATCTGATATTATATAATATTATTAATTTAAAAACTAATTTTAAGGGGTGGGGTGGAATCAGCATTTCCATATGAATTACATATTAAAACCTGTCAGACATTAAATCTCAACCAAAAAGAATCATTGAATATTTTATATGTTTAGAAAAAAATTTATGGTAGATAGTGCAGACCCATTCATCTCTTGGTAGTAATGAGTAGACAAGCATCCAGTTAAAGATTAATTAATGAGTTCAATGTAGGAAGGCTAGCTGATCAAGCGGCTTATCTGTATCCTTTGGGGATTAGACAAAAGAAGTGCTGGTCAGTTTATAGCATATGTCATTTGATGGCCAGGCCTTTTCTTTTCAAAATTAATTTGGCATAGATTAAGATGTTAAGACTAATTTGATATTGTTCAATATGATGGGCATTTGACAAGGTCTAACACAACCAGCATAGAAATCTATTAATGGTGTAATATTTATTATAATTAATGCCTAGATAACAGGAAATGGATAAATATTTGAAGGAATGGAAAAATCATGGAAATCTTGGAATCAAGGTTGACGTGATTTTCTTGCACACTAAAATGTTCAAGAAAATTGTATTTTTTTTGACGGGCTTATCATGCTCTGGCGCGGCACTTTATTCTCCATAATTTTGGAAATCAAAATAGTATATTTCATTTTGTATGCAAACTTTGAGGATAAACTTGAAAAAAAAAAGTGGAGTGAAGACCCACTCATACATTTCAAAACATTGTTTTAAAAAGTGTGTAGTGTTGTTATGATAGTCGCTGACTATCGAAAAATCGTCGTTTAAAGGCCCAGATTGGCGACAATCGATTGTAAATATTATCATCGATAGATCGCTATATTTTTCAAGCCGTATTTCTCAAGCCGAGCAGGTTTAACTTTTATATTCACCAAAGGGACATCACTCTAATCAGCAGTAAACAAAATGAGAACGTGCATGGTGAAGAGGTTATGATTATTATATCCATATCCTGGTGCATTGTCTTTTTAAAATATTTCTAAGGATGAATAAATTGAACCTTTTATAACAGTTAAAATTATCAATTATATAATTATATAAGTGATTGTGTTCTTCTGATTCAATTTGATAATAGTAAATTTGTCCAATTTTACAACACTAAAAGTGTGAAAAAATGACTCAATTTGCCCTTTTTCGCGTGTGTATTATATTTTACAGGCCAAAAACTTCAATCTTCATGAGATATGTATAAGTTGTAGAGATTTGACAGATTTACATAAAGTATACTTTAATTTTAGATGAAATATTTAGGAAAATTTTGATACAATACTTGATATCGCGATTACTTAACTTAGCTGAACTCTTTCATGAAGGAGGTAGGAATCATCTGTTGGGTGGGAGCAATGTGCTATTCAGTACAATTAATGCAAGATCGATCATTGTAGCATTTATAAGGACAGATAAGTAAAAAATCCTGGTGGAATACCTCACTAGACAATCGCTGAACCAGCCTTATATATTTTTGAGAGGAGCCAATCCTAAATTGTCACATTTTTAAAGATATGTTTAATTAAGCGGACTCTTATAGTTAAATTTTCATTGAAAATCTTCACATTTTTCAGCATATAAAATATTTTAAACTTTCCTTATTTGACAATCTACTATTTGGAATTCAATATCTGGCAAAACATCGTGATTTTGGCATTAAATTGTTCGAATCATTCGATTGTCACTAATGTAAACAATGTCATTTGCCCCCAGAAATTTAGACTTTTCTTGACTCCCTCGCAAAAGAGCGGAGATAAGTTAGATAACTGCGAGGTACTAATTGGTAGTCGCGACATAACGTATTGAGATTTAATTTTTTCACCTTCATGTTTGTTGCGCTATAGGCTTATCCCTTGTTATGTTCTCAGACTCCCATCTCATTTATCATCCAATAATAAAAATACATTTCCAAAGCATGTGAATTATATTTAGATGATAATCAAATACATATGATAAACAATAGATAAAAATTGATATTTTTGTCCTTTCTACTCTTCATGCATATAACATGTATAAAGTCCACAACAATAAAATGATTCATTTGATTTTTGTTAGGATTTGTTCATCGACATCCAACATATTGTTTACATGTGTATGTTATGTTTGTCCCAGAAATCCTGAAAGATTTGTACACTCTGCAACTTTTTTACAGAGGAGCGCACTAAAATCTTAAACTCTTCCATAGTGGAAATAAGACGTATTGGTAAATAGATTTTGCCCTGTAGTCCATCTGGCTGTTTGTCCTCAAAAACTTTAACCTTGCTCATAACTTTGGAGTGAGTGGGGCTATGGCTTTATATTTCACTGCTGTATACTTGTATTTCTTGTGACAAGACCTTTCTTTGGGTACCACCACCACCAAATTTGACCTCTTGATAGGGCTGGGCAATAATATCGATATTTCAATATATTGCAATACAATGACAAAGAATATCGTATCGCAATACGATTTTGTATTATCGATATATTGGCAATATGCTTAGATTAAGGAAATTTGTCATTAAAAATGAAAATGGACTTATGAAAGTTTGTTATTAAGCCAAACAGTAAGTCAGAAGTTGTTTTGTTGGAACATTTCAGAGCATAACTTAACTGAAATCAACAAGATTTTTTTCCATGTTGGTTACTTATCATAGTTATGTACATTCTCCATGTAAATTAAAGTAAATTTAGAACGAAAATGCCATTTTTATTACCTTGAAAATATTGCAATACATATCGCAATACGGTTTTAAAATATCGCAATACGAAATCTCGGGCCAATACCCAGCCCTACCTCTTGACCTTGAAGTTTGACCACTTATACAAAAATATATCATTCTTCAACCTTAGTTATAACTTATAACTTTTGCACAGTTGGTGTTAGGGCTTTCATACTTCTCATTGGTATGTTCAATAACTTTTTTGACAGGTCTGCCCAAGTTTTGTATTAAAACGCTTCTGAAACTCATCTGTAAAAACATTTAATATTGTTGGCCGATTTAAACATTTCGGGAAAATAGCAAAAAACATGAAAACGTGAAAAAAAAAAACTATGAGGTTCGGAGAGTAAAATCGAGGATAGGTCAGGTGACAGGAAACATGAGTACAGTCATGTATATTTTTTTTGCCCCGGTATAGTGTCATATTTGATATTATATGGAATATGTGATTTGCAGCACATTCTTACTGATATTTCTTTAAATTACAGGTATCCTGAATTTGTCAACTTCTAGCCAAGATCCTGTAGGTAAGCTGAATGTGGAGGACAGATGTACACACAGTACTAGTATAGAGGGTAAGTAGACCATAAAAAAACAAGATGTGTTTGTGAAACACTATGTGCCCGGCGGCAACAAAGATTGGAAAAAGCTATTTTTAGCATTAAGGTCACAGTCAAGGTCACAAAGTCATTGACCTTTGTGTCATTTGAAAGAGGTTGATTAGTGGAGTATGGAGTGGACTCCATGCCACTAAACTGGAAGTGAACACCGCAGTGAATATTTTACGTAATTCAAGAAAAGAAAAAAATTGCATGTAAATCTTCATGTACAATATTATGTTTCCATATGTGATCAATTAAAAAAAAATATATTTTTAAAACAAAATAATGCCTCATCAGGTCGGTAAGACAAGCTGTTTGGCTCTTTGTTGACTTGGCTTTTCAATGATTTAAATTTGGCACCGTGTAAAAATAGTATTATCTGTCCCTGGTACAAATCGTCTTACAAGTAAGAAAAAGAATTGATAACTTTTAAAGTTTTCTTAAATATGTTTAAAATAACTGAATCAAAATATGTTGAATAATTATGTATTTTATTTTATTTGAACAAGCTTTCATCATCATGATCATGTTCATAGACGTCAAATATACACTGCGAGATTTACTTCCAGTTTAGTGACATAGA